AAGCCACTTCCGCATGAGTTCAATTCCCGCCTGCCCCGGAGGTGACCACATGGTGCGGCAGACCTCTCCTGACCCGCCCGCTGCTCCCCTCAGCAGTGTACTTCGTCAATCTGCCTGTTCTGCTCCCCGCTCTGTCTCTGGTGAAACCTCTCACCACCCCTGAGCCTCTGGCCTGTACCCCTGTTCTGTATGTACAAATAAATAAATCTTTTAAAAAAAAGAAGTTTTTTTAATACCATGGTAGCAATGAGCTTCTAACATCATCACCGGAAGGATCAATTCATTGGTCTCATTGTAATCCATGGTCTTATAACTCATCTTCCCTTTTTATGTGATTTGGACCCCACGCCAGTCACCCTCCTGGTTTCACACCTGTCCCCTATGACCCAGTTTCTGCTTGCTGTCACATCCTCTAAACAGCCCAACAATTAAAAGCTACTACAGATCACTTCCAACATTTCACTAAGCATCAAAGAGAAGTCTATGGACTGTTTTACTTTTAAGACCTTTCCCCAGCTCTCTAATTCACTGGACAATCCTAGATGTTCACTCTTTACTTGCCATTCTGACTCTGAATCCACAAGTGCACCACTCCTCTTTCATTCTAGTTCTATCTTTCCGCCTTGAGGGCTTCTGGATTCTGGTTCTTCATAATTCCAGATATAGCAAAGTAAATCAGATGAAAGTCCAGATAAAGCAGAGCAGTTAAAATGACTTCTTAGTTAGATAAGAGAAGGGCATTCTAGATCTGAAGATAAATCTTTGTCAGTTGCGTGGGAGAAGGCTGATGACACGCATAGGTGAATCCATTTGGTTGCTGGCAGTAAACTATGAATCCCTGCAAGTCCCAGGTTATCTACCTGAGGTCACTTCAGGCTTAGAAAGGAGTCATATGAATGGGATGCAAAGGAACCCTTGTATTCTTACTACCACTTTCATTTTGGGAGCTAACAAATACAGCTTTATTTCCATAATCATCTTTTCTTTTGCCTCAAGTACAATTTCAAGTGCAATTAACACCTCAGGAATAATTTATTTTACTCTGTATGGCTTGAAGCATTCAACTTCTCATTCTTACCTGCCTCCAGGAGCCAAAATACATAAGCCAGGGACCATCACTGTTGGAAATTGTGACTTCTCAACTCTCTTCCCCTCTCTTTGGCTAGTTTCTGGCAGCTTGGGAGTCAGTTCCTCCCACCTTCCAGAAAGAGCAGGGGAACAGATGAGAAGATCCTTTCTTTTGTGAAAAGGGCTTGTTACACATATTAATAGAGCTATCTTAGAGTTCTTGAGATCACAGTCCGAGTGTTTGAGAGCCTTCTACATACTACATACCATCTTCCAGCCCTTCATCATGGTTTTAAATAGTTTGGAAATTCTAAAATCAAATGATCTCTAAATTTTAAAAAAGTGAAGAAAATTGGGGAGCAATAATTTTTATAATTCTATTCTCCTTCCGGCATACCAAATCCCATGGTCCTCAATGTAAAATAATGAGTGAGGAAACTCCAAAAGAATGCTTAACATGTTTCAATATATTTTAAAATTACTTTTAAAGTTTGTAATTTCCTTTGCTATGGGTGATGCAACCTTGGAATTCATTTAGGAGGAAATGATGAAAGTTTATAGGTCAAGAATATTATTCAGCTTTGATCGGGTTGGGAGTTTGATATTTGATTTTTTATATTGCTTTTTTCATAAATTGTAAAGTCAAAATGAAATTTAAATAAAGGGGGCTTCAGTGGGGCCTTTTTTTTTATTTTTTAAGATTTTATAGCATCTAAAAGAATGTAATTTCCAATTTTATAAGTCATCTCAATACCTAATTACATCTGTTTACTTACTAGTACATTAACTAGAATTGTTCCAAAATTAGAAAAAAAATTATATTTCATAATATAATAGTAACCAGGATGCATTGTGAAAATATTTCCCTTTATATATTTCTGTTTTCATACTTATAAGTAGACTTTTCTAAGTTTTTTTTTTTTAAGATTTTATGTATTCATACAGAAATGGGGTACAGGTCAGAGGTACAGGGGTGGTGAGAGGATTCACCAGAGACAGAGCGGGGAGCAGAACAAGCAGACTGATGAAGTGCACTGCTGAGGGGAGCAGCGGGCAGGTCAGGAGAGGTCTGCTGCGCCATGTGGTCACCTCCGGGGCAGGCGGGGATCGAACTCATGCAAAAGTGGCTTTAGATTTTTAGTGCTGTGCTTTAACCCGCTGCGCCACCAGGGAGGGCCTCTAAGCTTTTATTGCAGTTGTTCTTGTAATTCACTACTAGGTAACACATTATCCAGTTTTAAAACAGAGTCATTTGATGTTGCTCACAGATTCTGTGAGTTAAGTCCCCAGACAGGCTGGTTGTCTCAGGCAGGATAAGTTGTCTCTGTTTCTGGGACCTCAGTGGAGAAAAGACTGGGTGGGGTCACTTGAGTGACCAGAACTGGAGTCATCTGCAGGAGTCACTCTCTTCACCTTCTGTTCCTCAGGCCAGGGGGCCTCAAAGGCTGGGGTCAGCAGGAACTATCCTTTAGAGACTTAAACAGGACCCACAGAATCTGGGTTTGTGAGTTTAGTCATTAACATAGTCGAGTGAGTCTGTGTGTATATGTGTGTGAGAGAGAGAGAGGTGTTTCCTACTCTGGATAAATGCTGACTTTTATATGATACAGTGGGCTTCCTTATCTGAGGCTGTGGGCTCTTTCTTCAGTGCTAGTATCTTCTTGAGAATTGATGTGGATTTTATTTTATTTTATTTTATTTTATTTTATTTATTTATTTATTTTTGCGTTGAAGAATGGGGTGCAGGCCAGAGGTGCAGGTTCAGGGGGAGTAGATAAGAGGATTCACCAGAGACAGAGTGGGGAGCAGAACAGGCACAGGTACGATCTACTGAAATGCACTGCTAGGGGGAGCAGCAGGGAGACAGGGGAGGTCTGCTGTGCCATGGGCGGGTCATTTACCTGGCTAGGATGGAAAACAGGCTGTAGGGTGATAGTGCTGAGACTTAACCCCTAGGGCACCAGAGGCCTTTGGCGCAGGGTTTAATCGTTTAGCTGTTCTGCCGAGACTTTCATTGTCTTCCACTTTGAGTCATAGAGCATGTTGCGGTCATTATGCTCGTGTTGCAGCTGAGCAAACAGGGTGACTTGCCTCAGGCCAACTACATGTCACAGTGGACACACTTGGTACTCGAATCACCTTCTTGGAATCTTTGCTTAGTGCTCTCTTGAAAAAGAATTATGAAAATTTCAAACCAATAGAAAAGAATGGATCATAACATAACAGATGCCCAAAAGCCCATCACTAAACCTCAGAAGTTTGAGAAGAAATGGAAGTTTCCAGATTAAGTAAAAGCTTCCTTTGACTCCCTGTGCTTTGGGAAAGAATTAGTACCCTGGATTTGATGTGTTACAGTCTCATACACGAGTTTACCACACATGTATGGATCTAATAAAAATATAGTATAGTCATATATTTAAATTCATATATTCCCACTTATGATCTAATACAGGCAATGCAAGTATATTTATGGGAATATTTTGAATCTCAGTTCCCTAAAATAGGAGGTAAATAGTATATGTATAGTATGCATGTTACATCTAGCATGCATTATATAACATGCATACATTATATAATATATATACAAATGCATATATATATCTATATATTTAGACAATATAGGTAATAGATAGAACCTGATCATTCTCTGTTCTGTGGTTATGAAATTCAAGATGATACAGGATTACTTTTAATGGATATTTCCATTTTACATGCCACTTGCACTCTGCAGCAGCTATAGATTGCTAGTATAGTTCCTGAGCATACTTCCTTCACTCTGGAGCTTAAGTCAAGAACTAGGTGGGTATATTATTTTCATATAATGAAACAGTTCTGGAATGTTGGTGTCATGTTTCGTGATCTGAGTCAGCAATTTGTCATCTACTTCTTTAATGTCTTGGTAACCTAGGTTATCACATTTATGTATTTTCTCTGCTGGTTTTAGCTTCAATTAAAGTTCTCAGGAGTTCTTTACCCCTCAGTTTGCAGATTCGACAATAGAGTATATTTCCCTGCTGAACTGCACTAACACACAACTCACTCAGCAAGCCTTTTTATTTCCATAATGTCATTCTCATCTTGAATCCCCTATCACCAAGTCTCAGGCACTCTTGTGCCTTACTGTATACTGCCTTGGGTATTAATATAAAAGTGATGACATTTGTTTCCCGTGCTCTAGTTATCAGGATGCAGAATTCTAAGCAATCATTTCCTGCTCCCTGCCCAATTACCTCATATAATTAACTATCCCTTCTCATGGTGTTGTTATTCACATGCCATACCTGTGAGCCCTGTTTTCACCAGGATAGATGTTGCTCTCAAGGAATATTTGGCAATATCTGGAGATGTTTTGGTTGTTACAGGCAGGGTACTACTTCCTTCTAAGCGGTACGTGTCAAGAACACTGCTTAACATCTTAAGATGCAAAACACAGAACCACTTCCCACAACAAAATATTGTATAACCTGGCCCAACATGGCAATAGAACGTTGCTGTTATGGAAACTCACTTGATGTATATTTTATTTCAACTTACAGGTTTTCCCCATCTCTCAGATGTCCAATTGAATTATTCTATTGATTTAGACTAGATGCTCAGTAGAAATAATGGAAGGATGGATGGCACAACTATGTATTCTACTTTGATTGAAGTGAGGCAGCGACTATCATCATCAAAAACATTTCCCTTTATAGTAAGATAGTGTGTATGACCAGGTGACATCATCAGTTACACAGATGCACACAGATGGGCAATGAGGGAAACTGAGGCATAAATCTTAGAATAAAACTGGAATGGTGATAACTGTGATTATACTCAGGTAGTCTGTGCCTCAAATGACTTGTTGTTATGGAATTTGCACTTAAAATACTGATATACTAAGGGAAACTCAATAGCCAGCTTAATATTAACACTGGTTTCCTTTTTCTTCCCAGACATTTCACATTTTCAAGAACAAAATGATTTAAAAGGATTGTTAGACAATCTCCATCAAAATATCCAAGCCAAAAAAAGAAAGAATGTAGAAATCATGTGGCTGGCTGCAACGGTAAGCGCTTTCCTGTCAAATTGTATTTGCTGTCACCATGGTGACCAGCAGACCTTATTGGGTATCTTCTATTAACTACAGCCTCTGCCCTTTGGGTTACCAGATGTCGTCTTTCATTCTGAGGGATGAGGCATTTTCAGTGCTATTGGGATCCTACCGGTAGATGTACATGGGAACAAAACCTCTCCATTGGCTTTTCTCACTGTCGTAGATTTGTTTGATACTTGGAAGTCAAAACCATGTGTGTGTGATGTTCTTGATATTGTATGCTGTGACGTGTGTTGCACATATCCATCAGAACCTTGAAGTGCTACTCCAAAGACATACGTCTTCCAAAGCGTGTGGTCACGGGATAATTACTCCCAGCTTTCACACAACTCCCAGACATGGTTAAATCAATGAGTTGTAAATGCCTTTGCTAATTTAGATATAGGTATAGTATCTGTTACTGTTGGATTGTTCTTGGTACCACGAGATTTATTTTCTGTGGCTCTTCCTCATTTAATGGCACCCTCAAGACAGAAGATCTGCCTGCTTTCCCATCATGGGTTTCCACACGAGCGAAGGAGAGCCCTGACTGGTATTTGTCTAAACTCTTAATTGTAGTGACTGCACAGCCTTGCTGGTTTAATTTGGATCTGGGATAGCCCCTCTTCTGGGATACTCCATTCATTCGCTATCAACAGCATTTAAAACCAGCCTTTCCCCTACTGCCAGTGTTCCAGTTATAACCCTATATTACTTACTCTCTCCTGGGAAAAATGAGTGGATAATTTACCATGAATCTATATGAAATAATTTACCAGGAACAAGGCAGAAGAAAGGGTTTTAGTTTTCCTCCATGCCCTCTTGGAGCCCCGGGGAAGAACATCAAAGGTAACGATATGAAACATTGCTTTCAAGCAGCTCATTTACACTGGTCTCATTTAGCGCCATCCTGCATTACACAAAAGTTGTTTTTAATAGTTCCTTCTCCGGTGTGGCTTCTCTTTGCATCTTCAAAGGCTTCTGTGGTGGTTCATTCTCAGAAAGATGGGCTGTAACTTATTTTTCCTATGGCAGAAAGGTAGCTTGGTCATTTGCCAAGACTAGCTGACAACACAGCTGGTCTTGTCACGTCCCTCTCTTGAGGCTGCATAAATGGGTGGATCAAAGATGTTCCTGTGCAAAAAACATATTCGGTCTCTTAACATATGTAGTTTTCCCAATCCAATATGTTAGAAATGTCTTCCCACAAATTCCATACATTTCTAAACAACTTTTCTGAAATGTGTGTACTGACCAAACGTGGCTAAGTCACAGCTCCCACGGACAGGCGGCCATCTGCCTGGAGGGACACGGCCCATTCAGGCAAACACAGCACTGTCAGGAGCCGGGACCTTGTTCGGAAGAGCTTGACTGTAAGCTGGACCTTCGGCTCCAACATCCTTTTTGTGAACCAAGGGTCTTAATACTATTTTCAAAATAAAGACTTTTAGAAATCCTCTTTGAAGATGAAATGTTGCCATTTGTGACAACAGGCCTGGGGCTGGAGCAGGATGTTAAGTGGAATAAGTCAGAAGGAGCAAGACAGATCCTGCGTCATTCCCTCACCTATGGGCTCTAGAGACACAGAGGAAAGCAGCAGATGAAACTAAACAACAGCAACACTTAAACTGTGACAGCAGAATTGAGGGTACCAGCTGTGGAAAGTGGGGGCTCAGCGAGGGGACATGGTGGCCTGTGTTGGACTGGGGTGCCCCGGGGGTGTGGTGTGGTGACAGGCAGATATCTGAAGGGTGTGAAGGCCAAACATTACAAATTTTAAAAATAAATGTACACTCCTGATAGAATGAAAAAAGATCATTGCCATTTTCCAAAAACTTTTCTTTCTTCTTCTTCTTCTTATCATTATTATATTTTTTTAATCATTCTTCATTTTGTGCATTTTTTCATCTCAGTTGTATTTGTTTCTTTTTCCTCTCTTCTTTAAATCTATTAATGCAATCCTGTTAACGTTTTACATTCTAATTGAAAAGTAGCAAGCTATTTGGATTTAAAAAGTAAACAAGAATGTAAAGAGACCAAATGGCCAGTCTGGTTCAGTTCAGCTAGCTGCTGGGCTGCCGGGGAGGGCCACACAGGTGTGTCCGAAATTTCAAAACCGAGACTCGCAAGGGTTCCCACATACAAAGTAAGAAGACGTCGACTGTTTGTCCATTGAAATCAGTGTTTGGTCCCGGGAACACAGTCTCCCCCCAGCCACTATTCAGTTGCTTTGGACGGTGATGATCGTTATCATCAGGCCCTCCCCGGGGTTGCTGCCGTTGCTGGGGCTCTGTCAGTTCCCGTCGCTCAGCGCCCCTGACCCCGCCGGCAACGAGCTAAACAAATTGCCCCCCCTCCAGCAGCTGTGCTAAGAAAAGGCGACGCCTTTGCACTCAGTGGGACAGATTGGCCCGGCAGACTGCCAAAGGCGGACGCATCCCGGTGTTGGAGGCGCCTGCTGGGGCAGCCTGGCCCTGGCGGCCTAGACCACAGCTGAGCTGAGCGTCTGCTCTTTCTGCGTCGTGTTTCAGATCTGTCGCAGACTCAACGGTGTTCGCTTCACCTGCTGTAAAAGTGCCAAGGACAGGACGTCCATGTCGGTGACGCTGGAGCAGTGCTCCATCCTGCGCGACGAGCACCAGCTGCACAGGGACTTCTTCATCCGGGCCCTGGACTGCATGCGAAGGTACCGCCTCTGCGCCTTCTCCCGCGGCTCTTTAGGCTCTGTTAAGCCCGTGGCCAACTGGGGGGCTAACTAGCAGCCCCCCTGCATCTCCATGGCTGAAAGCTCGTGACATGCACGATAAAAAGCCGTTTTAAATCTCCCCCTTCTCACTTTTGGCAATGAGAGCAGACGCGGCGGCCGCAGCCCTCGGGCCCTCGCGCGGACCCAGGCGTGGGCCGGCCGCCTGCGAGGCGGGAGCTCCCTGCCCGGGTGCTGGCGCGCTCAGCGCGCGCAGCCGGTGCCCAAGCACAGCCTTTCCAGGCCGCCGCCAAGGAGCTCCCTAGACCTGGTGTCCAGGGCGGTCACCTCCTTCCTCACTCACCCCTGGACGGCGTGACGCGAGGCGCTGGCGGGAATTAATGTTGCTCCTCGGCCGACATTTACAGGCTCTGCCTGAAGTCATGTTTCTTGATTCATTTCCGCGGTAATTAAATCTAAAGCCGAAGCCATAATGGGAGGATAAAGTGCCTCCTTCACAAGGTCTGTCAGCAAGGACACATGCTAATTAAAAAGTTAAGCAAAATCGTCCCTGTGCCGCAGAGACCCATGCAGAGTCACCCCAAGAAGCGGGGGAGGGAGCCCTCCCCGGGGTGTTAGCTCGGGTGCTCTGGGGCCACCGGGCACCGGTCTGGCCTGCAGCCGCTCTCCAGCTTGCTTTGCGCAGCTGCAGTTCTCAGTGCCCATGTTCGCGCTGGCTGGTGTGTGTGTGTCCCCACTAATGACGGGTGCTGAAGTCTTCCCGTGAACCCCATTTCATGTCTCTTGGCATTTTCATTGTTTAGTGATGTGCCATCACAAGTTTTTGATAAATGAATGAAGTTGTTCATGCTCTGGCATGAACGTCTTGGCCATATGAAGCACATTTATTTAATGTAAAACTCTCCTTTCAAAAATAATCTCAGCACTAAAGGGGAAAATTCGAGTCTGAGTGTACAATCTTTGTAAGTGCATCAGAAGAATACAAATGGCACTGTGTGTGGAACAGGGGTACTGGGGTGCACAGAAAACCAGAGGATACCGACAGGCCAGAGACCCAGAGGACTGAAGCATTCAACCAGCTCTTAACACTCCAGAGATGAAATCGGAACTAGGTTACCTAAGGTAGCGCTAAGAGAAGGATAAATTACAGAGACAAACCTTCCCGATGAGCATGTAAATGACCTGGCTCTCACATACATCTAAAACTGCAAACCAGCACACTTTGGCGTCACATCGAGGTTGTGCAGAATCCACACCATCCTATACACAACTCAGTGCTGGGGACCTAATATGTACAGACATTCATTCTGGTAAAGCACTAGAAATTTAAGAACAGCGAAGATGTTAGCCCTACTCCTCGGGTGATGTTCATCTGGTCAATTCCAGATTTGTCAAATTTACCCTTCAGTTGTGAGTCTGTGAGAAGGCTCTTTGAGAGGGTTTGATGTGTGTGCATGCGTACGTGTGTTCATGCCTTTAAGGGAAATAAGGCATGTCCTTTTAACTAAGTCTTAGCATTTCCTGTTCTGGGTGTCTCTACAACACAAACCCAGAGGTTTATAAGCTCTGGGCACTCCGCAGAGCAAATGAGAGCCTGGGACTGAGAGCCAGATGATCACGTTTGAATCCAGGCTATGTGCCATTCACTGTTCTTAGTCGCCTTCAGCAAGTCAATCTCTTATTGCTTCTTAATGCCTTAGGTAAAGTAGGCAACCTCTTGCTGCCTCAGTTTCCTCTTCTGTAAAGCAGATGTGACTCTAATAGTAGCCTTTCTTAGAACTAAAGAGCTGCCATGTGTGAACTAACTAGAACAGTGTTTCATACGGCAGTCGCTATGGCATGTTAAGTGAAAAATACATACTGAGGTGGTGATGCGAACATTCTGATCTTCCAGGCCCACGAAAGTGTGGGTTTGATCCTTATACTTTTTGTGAATATAGTATGGCATAAAATTTGATGCTAACATCATATATTAAAATGAAGTCTGCTGTCATCTTTTGTAAGATTTCAAACACAACACTTTGACCAACTTAAAAAAAAATTCCTTACATTCCATTGCTTATGTAGGTATACAAGCACTGTGCTGATTATAGAAGACAGCGTTCTTTACAGGAAGGCTGCACAGGTTTATGACAAATATTATTTGGTGTTAATGTGCATTATTGTAGGAATACATTTATTATGTATTATTTGGGGAGGAAAAGGGTTTGCAGAGATCCTTATGTGCCTCTGGGAGTCCCGCCCTCATGACTATGGCTGTAAAAATGTATAGCACAGCATTTCTGAGACATTTTACTTGACTCTACGTGATTTATAATTAAGAAGATGCAAAATGGGTGCAGGGATCTAAATTTTTTAAGAATGTCAAAGTGATCTAGTGCCCATATCTGGATAAAAAGAAATTGGTGTTTTGATTCTATGCATCTGATCATGTACAAATTTTTATTTCATTTAATGTCATTTCTACTTTATTTTACCTTTGAATAATTCTAACCATCTTTCAGTCTGTTTACCCTGGATTTTATAAAAGTTCACCAGGGTTATAATATCTTTGCTGCTTTCCTAGTTTTGTTTCTTCCTTATCTATATTAAATTTTTCTATAGTATTGTGTTTATCTCTGAAACAAATTATTTGTGGATGTGCTAAGTTTTATAGTTAAAGTAAGTCAATAAACATTCATGCTTCATCTAGCTGCTTCCTCAGAAAAACCCTCACCAGAATAAGTTCCTAGAGGAAGGAGCTTTGTTTCTTTTTGCTCACTGCTATAACCCCATCACCTCGAACAATGCCTGTCCGTGGAGACTTCCCAATAAATATTCACTGAGAGAATGAATGAATAACATGTTGAAGCCCTATGTATTTGCAAGTTTGGTGTGTAGATGGGCATTTGGAGTTGAGCATATAAAATTCTTGCTTACTTGGGACTTATTTAAAGGCAAAAGTTTCCAAAGATGTTTTTGGAGAGGTCATGATACAAATTCCAGAACAGTTTCACGATCTGAACTCACAGTCTGCAACCACCCTTTATACGGATGTAAAAACATTCTTTTTCCAGAGGAAAAACTGTGTCTTTTCCTCCCTCTCCAGTCTTTCTGCAGCTCTGCCTCTCATCGCAGACTGCTTGAAAGGGCAGAAGACTACAGGTCAGGAGGTTTGCAAGTTACCTGGGTGGATCTGGCTCCTTAAGACCCAGCCAAGTTCTCAAGGGAGTGTCACCGTGGATTGCGCTAGGGCAGGCCTGGGTTGAGTACACGTGGCCCAAGTCGTCGTCCTTTAAACCAACTGTCCTTCAGTGACCAATGTCACTGGAAGTCTGATACCTCTGCCCCTGTTTGAGTTTTGAGGTATATTACCAGATTCCCACTTGCTCATCTATAGCTGAAGTTACAAAGTAACCAAACAACAGACAGATTTTTATCTGTTAAAGGCAAAAGAGGATGCAGTCTAAGAACTCAGTTCTCTGTTACGGAATCTCCTTTGACTGCTGAGAGCTATCTTGTGGCAACATATTTGCAGGAAACATTTTTGTTGAGACCTTCAAATTCACATTTGATCAACAGATGTTTAGAATTGGGCTTTAAGATATATAATAAATTTGAATGATAAAATGTCCCGTTTTGATCCAAAAATAATTGTGTTGGAAAATTTACTAGCTGCTAAAAAGTAGTAAATTAAAATGAAGTTATAAAATTGCCATTACACTATTGTCTTTCTTAATAAGGACTCTGGGATTGTGTGTGTATACAATGTCGCAATCTGACAGCATACTTACATGCCTGTAGCTTTTATTTCTTATGCTACATTACTCTACAGTCTGTCAGTCTATAATAGCTCCTTAAATTAAGATAGTTGATGTGACATTAGTAAGATTAATCGGGATATGTTGCAGCACACAAACTATTTTAGGACATGTCACCCTTAAGATACAAATTTTAATCTTTCTATTTTAATAAATATTTAATTCTTAAGAGATAAAAAATCATCAGACTTACTGGGTTTTATGATCAGGCTGAATGTCATATTCTCAGTATGTTACACCTAAAATTTACTTGTTGGGGAAGAATGGCTTAGGACATGTTCGGCCTTCCAGATGAGAAGCTCTTAATCCATTGATGTCAGGAAAATTTTCATTTTTCTTGAACTCCTTTGTGGGGTTCACTTGGGAACCTTTTGTGGGGTTCACTTGTGAGTGAGGCAGATCCTTTGTCCATGTGGAAAACCTCTCTTCACCCTCACAAGATAGTGAGAAGCCTTGAGACCACAGGCCAGGCATTGCTCTATATTTAGGGGAGCAGCAGAGTGCTGTGCCCGGGTCTCCAGGGGCAGGGGAGGGGTGTAGGGACTTACTGAGATGGAGAAATGACTTTCTTTTCTTTCATCTTGTTTCTGCTGTGGCTGTCTTTTCCTTTGTTTTTGTCTGATTGTGCTAGTCAGAGAGGGCTTCTGTTACTCCACATTATCTAATACTAAGGCAGATAGCAAGCATTGTAGACATAGGTAATTGAAGCTTTGGGCTATTTCTCAGCTGAGGAAGTGCTGTCACTGTAAGGATTTCACTGGTGTTTGCTGCCTTATTTCAGCCCATATCTTTGACAACAGCCAGGCCTTCATCTTAGGAATTGCTAATAATTATACTAAAACGGGCCCCATTTAGGATGTTTTTGCTTCAACTGACTGTGTGATCTGGGCTTCTTTAGAAATCTAATTGGAATGATTCACAAGATATCAATAAATGAACCATCAATTAGAACTCACCTTACTGGGCAAACAAGAAGAGTAACTACAAAAAATCAACTTCTAAACCAAATGTATCTTAAGTGAGCTTCATCATGCATTCAGGTGTGTCCAATTATTTGATTTCTATAAAAGTAGTGGCTTTGTGGTCCATTTCTTTCTCCTGCTTTGTTTCGTGCATGATTGTTGTCTAGTCCACAATCCTCCTAGTAGGGAATCATCGTCAGAACAGCTACCAGCCTTACAC